TATAATCTAATAGAAAAAACTAAGCTAGTTCCTTTTATTCAATCAAAAAATTATAACTCCAAAAGTATCATCATTCCTGTTGTATGTGAAGAGATTAAATTTCATATCGTAAATACGGGACTAAAATTGCCAATTTCGGAAATTGTAGGTAATAAATTTACGGAAAAACTGTCATTTTATCTTGAGGAGATCGATCTAGAACTTACAATAGATGAGCAAAAAACAATAAAAAACGAGTTTTTTTTGTAAGAGTAAACAAACATTTATGCCAAATCTAACAATTAATCATCAAAATAATACTATTATCATTTATTCTAACAATTTTAAGAATAAATCAGCATTATTTTTATGTGATTCTTCATCAAATTTTAACCTTATCAACAAAAACATAATAAAGTATTCCAACCTTATTGAATACTCAAAAATCAGTAATAAAAAATCTCTATATGCTGGAACCATAAAGTTGTTAATACTAAACAGAGAATTTCAATTTTACACTATCAATACAGACATAGATTCTAAATTTTCTGGAATTATAGAAAAATCTTTGTTAAAAAGACTTAAATTAATATAAATAAAGCCAAAAATTATAAGATAAAAGTTATTCAATCATGTGTTTTGTTTATGTAAGTGTTTTTATTGCAACATTAATAATTTTAATCACTTTTTTGTGGTTTTCATAAGACAGTGCTTAATTTAAATAATTCAAATTAAGCGCGAGTCTCCCTTGGACAAGAAATTGCATTTACTTAAACTACTGTATCTCGCCTTTAGGCTACGATCTCACAGTAGTACAAACTAGTTGAAGTCGGACTGGCGGCCCACGGCTAACGTATATATATAGATATAGAAACACATTAAAAATCTAATTCTCGAAAAATAAATTCAAGTAAATAGTAAAAATCACTATTTTCCATGTGTTTTGTTCATTTTTCATTTTAATGTGTATTGCCTTTTTGTTTTTATTTGGTGGATAACACGCACAAATAATAACTAGAGAGGTTTAATAATTATAATAATCAAGATAAATTTATGAATAATTACATTAATTCCTCTTTTAATTATCCTAGTGGCCATTTTATATCTTACCATTGCATATCGCAAAATAAAAGATTTCTCATTGATCCTACTATATCTATTAACTTAATAATACACTCGGAATTAAAATCTTTTGTTAATATTAATAAAAATAAAACTCACTCACTTTTTAAGGGAGAAATTAAAACTATTGGCCAAGTAATTTTACCGGTTCACATAACAAACGAATGTTACACAAAAGGCGAATCAAGCGAAAAAGTATCGTTAAAATTTAGTGTAGTTAATTATCAAACCAATTCTAATATAATTGCAATTTTAGGAGCTGTTTCTCTTGATCAATTTTGTCAATTTAATTATTTTGTTAAGAAAACAGTTGCTCAAGACGGAATTTGGAACAAAGATATAATAATAGATATATTTAAAAGTGGTTTTGAAGCAATAGCTCAAAATCCAACAACATAAAGTATATTTAATAGAAATGTTTAATACGTCAAATAATAAAATCATTAGAAAAATAAATTCAGGCAAATACATGCATAGGTACACTGAAACACCTTGTAATTATCCAATTGGTGAATTTAATTCTAATCATATTATTTCTCAAAATAAATATTATATTCTTGATCCTACAATACCTAAAAATTTAATCAAGCAGTCAGAATTAGAGACTTTCGTTAATATTAATAAAAATTTAACTTATTCACTTTTTAATAACGAAATTCAAACTATTGGTGAAGTAAATTTACCCATAAAAATAATAAACTTATATACTAATGAAAAAGAAATAATTGGCGAAGTCCCAATTAAATTCGAAGTGGTGAATTATCAGAGTGATTCTAATATTATTGCAGTTTTAGGAGCTCCCAGTCTTGATCAATTTTATCAATTTAATTACTTTCAAGACGAATTATTGTATCAAGACGAGAGCTGAACTAAAGACACAAAAAGAAATATAATCCTAAAAAGCCTTGAGGCAATAGCTCAAAGTCCATCAGCATTAAGTTTGTTTAAAGAAAATCAAAAATAGGACACGTGATTCCTACTAATTATAACTAACTACAATTTTAAAAATCATAATAAAAACTCGTTTTTATTAACTATCATTGTAAATAATATTAATCAAAGCTTTAAAAATTAATAAAAGGCAAAATAATAAGTAGTATTCAAATTTAAATATAGCGCAAAAACATATATCATTGACTTTAACTACTCATTGACTTCGCGCGCGGTGTACTCGCAGTAGTTCGAGCCGCGTCAAGTCAGACGTCCATACCGCGGAAACAACTACACTTATTAAGCTTAATCCTTTAAGCGCCATCCACATCTAACCCCTCATGAGTTCATATTTCTATTTTATAAAAAGATGCAATAATTTATATCCACTTATTTTATTAAAATCAAGATTCTTTAAAGAATTCGAAGCGAAATTCATTATTGACTCATCATTACCAATAAATTTGATTAAAAATAAGGAATTAAATTCTTACTTGGGTATTGATTATACTAAAACTCTTTCACTAAGGGAAGGTACAATAAAAACTTCAGGGAAAACTAAGGTTTGCGTTAATCATACAGTTCTAGAATTTCATTCCATTAATTATACAGGGTTCACAGATATAACCGGTATTTTGGGAATACCTTTTAATTTCGACATTATTAACGAATTTTATTAAAATAAATGCATTAATCGTTTATGAAAATTGGTAATCAAATAAGCAAAATGCCTGACGATGACGAATCTGTTAATAATGACCTCATGGTTACTACCATGGCGGAATGCTTTGCACTACAACAAGGAACTATGCATATTCCTCTTTATGATGGTAAAAACATGCCCTTAAGAGATTTTCTCGAAGATGTAAAAAATGGAGAATCTTCTATACCTGTTAATTGTGATAAACAATATGTTAATTTTGTATTATCTAAATGAAGAGGTTCTGCACGTGATAGCACTTATAGTAAAACTTTTGAAACCCTTGAAGACCTTGTTAAACATTTGAAACAAAGATATGCCCCTAAAAAATCTTATGTATGGTACCTTCATGATATATCCACGATTCGTATGACCCGAGGTGACAGTATAAGCAAATTTTACGCTAGATTACCACTTCTAGTAGCCGGAGCAAAGGCTGCATTATTTAGTTCATAAGGAGAAACAAAAATGAAGAACATGCTAGAACCTTTAGACGATTGTGCTTTAGAAGCCTTCATTAACGGTGTTCCTGATGCAATTTCTAGCTTAATAGAAGCTCGTAAAAGCAACGAATTGAGTGATGCGGTAGACATCGCATTACAATACGAAATTAGACACCAACATCAAACAGATAAATACAATCATGCTTATCATGTCTCAAGGTATCAGCAGCCGAGCGAAAATAAAAATTATAACACTAATTTTGAGGTAAGAAATAGGAGTCCCAGCCCTAGAGTACGTTTTAACTCTGAAGATGATCCTATGAAACCACGTTCTCATTCTCCTACTCCTATAGGCATTTTAAAACAACAGGTCTTACCTTAACCTCAACAACCAATTGCTGGATTTTATCCACCCTATCCTTATTATCCTAATCAAATTAATCAACCACCTTTCATGCCTTATAATCCTTATCATTTTTATCAACAACCACAAAGATTGGATGGACATAGCAATAACTCATATGGAGGCTCTAAAACGCCCCCACGCGCTCAATCACCAGCCCCATCTAATGAAAAACATTTAAACTTCTATCCAGCTCGACGGACAGACGCGACGACGAGTCAGGAAAAACAAGAGCGTCAAGCAACTGTGAGGATACTACAAAAACAAGAACAATCCTGCAAGCACAACACAGCAAAGAATCCCCAGTAATAATTTTAAAATCCCCAGATTTCTTAAATTCAAAGGCATCACTATTAGTAGACACTGGTGCCGACGTAAATTTAATAAAGTTAGATATTTTACAACCAGAATTAAACGTAACAATAAACGAAGCCATACAACTTAAAGGAATAGAAAAACTATACTGTATTGATTAAATGAATAAATGAATAAAAATAAAATTATTAAAAGAAAGACGAGAGAAAATAAAGGAAGGGGATTTGGTGGTCGCCTTCCTTTTTCCTCTTTATTTTAAAAATTTCTTATAAAATAAAATTAACAAAATACTAATAATTAATAAAATAATAATAATAAAATTAGAAATAAATTGTATAAAAATCAAATTCATTAAAAATTACTAAAACAGTAAAGGTAAAAACAACCTTTATACATCATATCGCACATCGATATATCGATCGATATCTAATTCGATATACTAACAAAAACATTAGTTAATACAAAAATTATAGAAAAAGATAATTAAATTGTTATGCTAATACTTAAATTATCATTAAATAACAAAATTAATTAATCGTAATATAAGAAATTACAATTAACAATTCAACATATCAATCGATATATCGTTCGATATTGTTGACCGATTATATGCATATATATTCTTAATTATAATAAAACAGTTAATAATATAAACAAATATCCATCATAATTATCGAAGTAAATATAATTGATCAAAATAGAGTAACAAAATAATCATAGTAGAAATAACCTTATATTATATCGCATATCGATATATCGATCGATACCAACATCGATATACACATCGATAAAATGACAAATTCTCCTTATTTTAACACTAACCAAATAACTACATAACAATAATTAATCAAAATTATTAAATAAATAAGAGAAAGAATCAAACAAATACGAAAACTTATAACATAAAACAAAAACAAATTTTAAAAATCCCTAGACCAAAATTCAAAATTTCCCTATGAAAATTCTGACGCCGAAAGTGTTTCTGTGGATGAAGTAGAGGACATTGAAAATATAGGACAAACATTTACAACGAAACAACATTTGTTGACTCACAGTCCTTACCATTTTTTTGTCTTTGGTTCACTTGTACAGTTTTGGTGTATGAAATTAGAAGCTAAGCATGCCTTATTCAAAAACAAAGCCAAATGTGTACATAATGCTAAAAATCTCATTTTCACTTTAGCGAATTGGTATCAAGTGTACCAAACTTATGAAATGATGCAGCCTTTGATTAAACAAGTAATAACTGGACCTCGGAAGTTAGTCTTGACAGAGACTTCAAGATTTCAGAACTTATATCCTGAAAAACCATCAATTTTGTTAGTTCCTTGGCTTAAATATAATGGTACGAAATATGCGTTGCAAGAAAATGTTATATACCAGTAGGTTATAACACTCAAGAATCTCTACCAGTATTTTCTGAATTGTTTAGTATTGTTATAGAAGACAATGTGCCCATTTTCGTTTGTCAATTTGTTCAAATAATAGAACATGACATGCGGTTAATGGCTTATAAAGTAGTGACTAATGAAAATAATTTTGTAAAATACAGATTCGAGAACCTTATTTCGCCTAACGTTTATCACAGCCACGTCTCAAAAGAAGAAATTTTCATAGTAGTCAAGCAGAATATTGGTGATTTGCATTGAATAATAGACTTTTTGTGAAGGTAAGATTAGCAAATTGTTACCAAAATAAATCTTTTTTCCATTACATTCCAAAAATACTTTATATAAAACAGGGTTACACTGTAAAAAATGTAGGAAGTAAATAGAAACTGAAGTCGAGAGTAAAAATTTTGGAGGTAAATATCTACTCCAAAATGCTTGCGACTTTCATAGAATCCAGTTTGGTGTTAAAATTTAACTTCATTTTCTTACACTGTATTATTCATAAAATGAATAATTTTGTTTTTAAAAAGTTCAAAGTCTATAACTTTCATCATTAAAGATTAAAATACTAACATTTTTTTAAATAGAAATATTTTTTACTGTCTACAAATTTATATTTTCCAAATTTTTTACGATGAAAATAATCAAAAAAAAATTTTAGCTAAGAAATTAATAAAAATTATAATAGAAAAATATTTTGCATTTAAATTGTTCATAGCAAATATTGTGGACTTTAATTTATTAATAAAATTTCAGACTTTAACTATTTGTCTAATATTAATTTATAAAATACTAATGTAATTTTGACATTGTTATTATTTTACAGATAAATGTTTTAAAATCAATAATTTTGGCTGGGACGTAACAATGAGCATTGTCGGCAGAGATTGTAGAAATTACATAAGAGGCATTTGTGTAGAACACCCAGACTGTTTAGAATATGAATATTTACCAGATGTTGGGCCAAATTGTATTTTTTGTGGATGTCTTTCGGTCAATCATAAATTAATTGGTAACAAATTTTATTTTACTTAACTTTATACTTTTTCACACTATACATATAACCTGCTATTTGAAATACAATTTAATAAACACTTCCGAGAGAATCTTGATTACAATTAATTCTTGCAATCTCACAGGATGTTGCAATTTTGAAAAATTGTAAGATATTAAAGTAATTTTCATTTTTCCTTACTGTAGACTTAAATTTTCCAACAGTAGTCACTGAACAAGGCATTCCACACTGAAAAAAATTTGAGCGCCGAGACGTCTCAGCCATGGTGGCGCTGCTTTCTCTTACTTGTAAGAGCACTGATACTCGCTTTGTGGGATCGCAGCGCACCCACAAGGGGTACGCAGATGTCCCACAGACTGTTGCCCCAGTCTGATGGGCTTGCATCTCTACCACTGTGGGTCACCTGTGCACCCACAGTAGGTACGCAGCGTACCCAAACACAGGTCAGCATATATACTTTTTTTGGGAATGCTGCGTCACTAGCTGGTGCAGCTGCACACCCAAATTTTTTTCAGTGCAGGTAACAGTGAACCTGTCTGTATGTTCAAAAACTTCCAATCCAGAGCCTTCGAAAACTTTAACTGTATGTCGAGAATCGCAAAATGAAAATGCAACTGATGAGTCGTATCGAGATCCTGATGTCGAGCTTAATCCACCTTCTACATCAAATTCAACCACAGTACAAGATACTATGATTTTACAATGTCAGCGTCACACTTGCGTACAGTGTGAACAAAATGTACCGTAAACTGGGGCTATTAGAAACACCGGATCTATTAGGAACAAAATTCTGTTTTCGGGTGGAGTTGATGCTATTGTCGCCGTTTATCAATAAATTGTGTTACTTGCTTTTAAAAAATTGTTGCTGCGGTAACTGGCAACACTTTTCAATGCAATAATTGTAATTATTAATTATTTTGTGAACAATAGTAGCTTGTAAGTATCGTAATGTGTTTTAGTGAAGTTTCAATCGTGGGAAATATTTGATTGCTGAGGTATGTTGTTTCATTTTTAACTTCTCAAAGTTATTGTTTTTTATTAATTAATTAATTAATTAATTATTTTTTTAATTTTAAATTTTAAAAAAGAAAAACGAAAATATAAAAGTGTGAGGTCACCATCATTATAAAATTCAGCCAATGAGGAACACTACACTCATTATAAAATCAGCCAATGAGGAAAAAGTTCTACACTTGAAGTTAGCTGCTTTGACATCAGTAAGTAGTGTCACGACGATTATATCCAATCAAAGTAAAGGATTTTGAAAAAGAGCCAATCAAGAAAAAGTTCTACACTTGAAGTTAGTCGATCTTACACACCTCGTTTTTACGAAAGGAATTTGTCGGATAAATATTTTTGAATTTTATAAAAAATTGTCGGAGGGGGAGGGGGTAAAAGTTTTAAACTTTCGCGAGACACGCTCCACTTTGATTATTTCTTATAATTAAAAATTTCAAAATAAATATATCCCATCGCATCGTTTGCTTACGATCGGACAAGGCTTAAAAATTGTTAATTTAGTGCTAGTTTCTTGCAAAAAATTTTGAAAAAAATTGATCGATACATACATTGTTAAAAATGAAATTTTATTTTAAAATTTTTCAAATCTAATCGTAAATTATTTAAAAATTTTTTAAAAACATTTTTATTAAAAACTACGCCTGAAAACAAAACTTTTCATTATAAAAACGTCCAATTTGATTAATTTTTGACCGAGTTATAAGCATTTAAAAAAAAAATTACGTATAAAACGTCATTTTTCAAAAATCTGTAACTCCTGAACCGCTTTATAAAAAAATTTGAAAGAAATTAAGGTAGCTCATTTCAAAGAGTACTAAATGAAAAAAAATGTTTAAAAAAATTTGAGTTGCAGAAGCAAAATAATTTCCGATTTGGCCTGGAATGCCCCATACATATATGCCTAACACTAACCTAAATTAACACAGTATAAACATAAACGCACTATACTATTACATTCGCTATATTAAGTATATTCCGAACTGCTCTTATATACATTTAATTAATTCTTTTTGGATTAATTCTTCTGTCATCATTCTCTTCAGTGTTTAAATGTGTTCAGCAAACTTTTTGTGTATGGTTTTTTTTTAGTTAAACTCCTTTAGAGTATTGTGATTTATTTCTCAAAATGACATTTTGTTAAGCAAAAAATGTGTATAATACCCTCCTCATTTTTTATGTTGCTCTTTGAATTTCTATATATTCTTACAGTTTCTAGACCGTTTTAAACATCTTATTTCATTCAGAATTTTTAATTTTATTTTTGATATAATTTTTACTAATTGTTTAAAATTAATTCGGATGGAGATACAAATTTGTCATTTATTAATATTATTTTGATATTCTTCTATTAAACTGTAAGATTCACTACAATAACTAACTTTCTAATGGACTCAGTAAAAAAACAAAAATGTCTAATTATATTACTTTATTTTCATTATTACACTACAACGGTGTTTACATCTATACCGAACTTAAACTTTTGAAGCGCCAACCTTGATATTGTATTTGTTTTTATATGTTACAAATGTAACTCTTAGAATTAGGGAGTACGTAATGTACGAAAGGCCATGTCCCGTTATGTTATTAAATAAATAAATAAATACTATAACTTTTCAAATTCTTTTGCTCTTGCGAGAAACGTAATACATAATAAGAAGTTTATTAATTTGATAAAACTTTAACTTTAAAAATTAATTAAAGCTTTTAAAAAATCAATTATAATCAGGGTCAATTTTATATGTGACAAGAAAGTAGTAATTTACTAATATTCTTAAAATTAGTTACTTTATTCTATAACTAGCAGATCTACGCGCGCGATATTTCTGTTTCTGTATTATAATACTCAAGACCTTATTTTATTATGTGTATATAAAAATGTGATTAAGACCTTATGATCCGTTTTTTTCTTCTTTTGAAATATTGTAAAAAGATTACAATTTTTTTTGAAGAATTAAAAAACATAAAACACGAAAACCAAAAATTAAATTTAACACACTGAGCTATATTGTAAAATGTTTATAAAACGTTAAGGCAATTACAGATTTTCTCAAGATAATAAAAAGGTTTTTTCGCAAATAGAATTAACATTACCAATTTGTTGAAATTTGTACCACTGTTAGATAAAAGTTTTTAAAAAATGTAGTTAAATTTTTTAGACCTGTGGGTATTTCTGAAAAAAGTTATAAGCGTCTTTGTTTTTAACTTTTAACTTTGAGTTTTGTGGGAATTGAGTACATTTTCAAACATATTTACTCACCACAAAGTACTTAACATTAAGAAATTAATAAAACCTTTTTTAATACGAGACAGATATATAATGGTTAAATATCTGTTAAAAAAGTGTAATTAGGTATCTGTGAGAGTTGCAATAAATTAATTTGTAAAAAAATTTTATGTTTTATACAGTATATTAAACAGCTGTTTAAACATCTGGAAACATTGCACACAATTTTCTACTCAAAACTAAATGTAAACAAGTCATACCAAGCATTTGCAACACGACTAAAGAAATACTGTGTTGCCAGACGTTTCAAAGTACCAAGCAAGTCAAATTACAAAATAATGGTTTTTGTTTTGATTAGTTTAGTCAAGCGATAGAAAAACTTTATATATATTAATTATATATTAGAAGAATTATGTTATTGAAGTATTCTTCCTTCTTTGTCAAAACATTGTACCGAGATTTATTGATAGTCATGATATAAGTCGAGGTATAAGCCGTCCATAAACCACGAGGACAATTTTTTATTAATTTTTGACCCTCCCCCCATCCAATATGGAACACAAATTTTTACTTTATGCAATTGACCTTAATTTCCTCACTCGGTGGTTTTTAGGGTCGCTGCTTACGAATTTGAGGCAAGTTTTCATAAATTTAAATTGGTGTTTTCAGTATGGCAGAATTTTCTTTTAAATTTATGCAATTGACATTAATTTTGTTACTCGAGAGTTCTAATACCAGTCAGTTAGCTGTAAATGTCATAGGAGCGCTCACTGACAATTATTTTAGTACTTGCGTCGATTCACGACCAGCGAGCGTGTATAGAAAATTTTTTTTAATTTCTCTTTCCTATATTATATTAGTCATTTAAAATTTTGAAAACAAACATCGTATTCATAATCAGCGGCCCTAAAAACCACCGAGTGACAAAATTAGGATTAATTGCATAAAGTAAACATTCTGTTTATATTAGATCCGCCATTTTGATTTATGGGAAACTAAAATCGAATTCGTAATCAGCAACCACAAAAATTCCCGAGTGACAAAATAAAGGTCAATTGCATAAATTTTAAAAAGTTTTGTTCTATATATTAAATCCGCTATCTGGAATTTCTTAAAAATAACATTAAATTAGTAATCAGCGACCCCAAAAGCCTTCGAGTAGGAAAACTTAAGCGAATTTAATTACATTTTAATATTATAAAAAATAGTGACCACCCCTTTCAAAGTTTCCTTCATATTTTAGGCAATATTTGGTCCGCCATCTTTAAATTTTACATTCTAATTTACTTTTTTTAAAAGTATACAATTTTTGTGCCTCTATGGATGAGAATTGAATATTATTCACGCACGTTTAACTCCTTAGCAGTGTAGTCAAAATAAAGTTTTCGTGTCACAATTGTGCTAAATTTTTTTTATACCAGATATCATTATATTTTATGTTTTTGGGGTTACTAAATACAAATATTTGGATGGGTAAATGGGTAAAAAAAATAACCAAACTTAAAAAAATGAAATTTCTTTTCTGTTTTTAAAATAAAACCGCTATATTTAATTTTTGTTTTAAACGAAATTCTTTTTTTTCACACCGGAATCGAAAAGAGCACACTCAATACCTATGAGAAACATACTTGCGGTATAAAATATAATCCGTTTTATTCATAAAAGTATAGGTTGAATTTGCGCAAAGAATTTTCTTATTTCAGGCGTTAATGGGTTAATCATTAAAATAATATTATAATATTTAGGGAGAGCGGAACAAACCATCCAGATGTCAATATCTCCGAAATGGCGAGATTGTCAAAACTGTTGTTTAGAATTTCAAAACA